CACACTCAAAAAACTCACTGGTTTATTAGGCGGCTTAAATTGTTTTTAAGTATAGGGTTGCACAGAGGCAACACATATTTTTTTATTTTATCTAATACCACCATATCAGAAATACCATGTGAATTTTTCTGAAAATCATCTACGTGCTAATGTTAAAATTTGTTTTCGTAAATACTGTTTTAGTGAAGAAAAATAAATCACACTAAATTTAAATGTGAATGTAATCGGCTATGAAGTCATATGTAACATTTAGCACATTGTGAAAGATACACTTCTATTATTGCTCAGTGTAAGTGTATTGTGGTAGTCGTCTACTGCTGATGGGCATGTGTCTTTGTGGGGTGACGCTTTAGCAGATGGCAGCAAAAAGCACATAGACATTTCTATTGTATTTAATTTCTCAGAGATTTAGTTCAATCCACACTTTGTAATATCCAAACTTATGTAAACTTTTTTAAAATTCAATAGTATTTTTTGAAATTTTTAAACTGTTAAGTTTTGGGAGAATATTAAAAAAACTAAAATAAAACATGCAAAATGATTTTCAAAAAATTCAAGAATCATATCTACATAAATAAAAGAGTATCTTGTTGTTCTTAATGTTGCCAACATATTAACTTATGACTAATTATACAGAGTTAAAATTAATTAGCGATACAGAGGATTTTTTTGAAAATTCAGAAGTAATAGACTGGCAAAAAATAATTTCAGAAAAAATGAAAACACTTTTCATATTTTGCTATTCTTTCACAGAAAAGAAAGTTTTGAAATCTAGGACAAAGGTCAAAATTTTTCCTTAATTTGTGCAATTGATGTGAAGAACTCATGTTAGCATAGCACATTAAGCAAATACCTGGCTTGCACGTTTCTTTTATATTCCAATTCTGGTTAAAAAAATGTCTTTCTTGACTATCTGTTTCTCTACCCCACGCTATATTCTATCTATCTCTGTGTCCTCCTCTGTTTGTCTCGCTATATCTGTTTCTCTCTCTGTGTCCTCTGTCTCCGTGTCTGTCTGCGTCTGTCTGTCTCTTCTGTCTCTGCTTTGTGTTCTCTGTCCTATAATTTTTTCTGTCCCTGTATGTCTCTCTCTCATCTCCAGCATCATCTCTCTCAAAATATAGAGACAGAGAGACACAAAGGCAGAGACAAAGAGACAGACAGACGCAGACAGGGACACGGAGACAGAGACACAGAGAGAGAAACAGATATAGCGAGACAAACAGAGAGGGACAGAGATAGATAGATATATAGAGATGGGGTAGAGAAACAGATAGTCAAGAAGACATTTTTTTAAAACAAGAATTGGATATAAAAGAAAACGGGCAACGCCAGGTATTTTGCTAGTAATGTGCTAGTGCTACATGGGTCATTCCACATCAAATTGCACAAATTAAAGGAAAATTTGACCTTGATGTCCTAGATTTCAAAACTTTTCTTTCTGTGAAGAGAATAAGCAAAAATATGAAACACGTGTTTTTCATTTTTTCCTGAATATTATTTTTTGCCATTCTATTAACTTTCTGAATTTTCAAAAAAATCCTTGTATCGCTAAAGTTAATTTTCAACTCTTGTCATAATTGAGTCATAATTTAATATTTTGCAACATTAAAGAACAAAAGATACTCTTTTATTTGATGTATATACTGAATTCATTGAATTTTTTGAAAATCATTTTTTGGCATGTTTTATTTTTGTTTTTTTAATTTCTCCCAAAACTTAACAGTTTAAAAATTTGAAAAAATACTATTGAAATTTTAAAAAAGTTTTACATAAGTTTGGATAGTTACAAAGTGGGATTTTGATACTATTCTGAGAAATTAAATACAATAGAAATGTCTATGTGCTGTTTTGCTGCATCTGCTAAAGCGTCACCCCACAAGCACATGCCCATCGGCAGTAGACGACTACCACAATACACTTACACTGGGCAATAAATAGAAGTATCCTTTCACAATGTGCTAAATGTACATATGACCTTCATAGCCGATTACATTCACATTAAATTTAGATGTGACTTTATTTTTCTCACAAAAACAGTATTTACGCAAACAAATTTTAAACATTAGCACGTAGATGATTTTTCAGAAAAAAATAAATGGTAATATTTCTGATAGGGGTGGGGTTAGAATAAAAAGAAAAAAATATGTGTTGCCTCTGTGCAACCCTAGACCTCGTAAAAAAAATTTCAAGTCGCTAATAAACAGTGAGGTTTTGTGAGTGTGTAATTTGACATGGAATGACTCATATGGAATACAGTTATATGTCCCGTTTTATAGACAGTAAAGAAATCGTAAAAACATTAAATAAATAAACCCTCGTTATTCAAACAGCAAAAACTATAATACTAGGAATTTCAATGTACCATTATCCAAACTGATAATCATCAAATGACTGCGAGAAATTCAAAGTTGCCATTTCAAATTTTTTGCAATTTCTGGAAATACAGACAGGTGGCTAAAAATCTGAAGACCACCACTTTCTTCGCCGGACTTTGCAACGAATGAAAAATTGGAGACTTTTTGAGAAAATTATTGTATGAAATTTGGCAATGTTTCATGCAAAAATGACTCATATTTCCCCCAAAACTGTACATGATCTTAAACAGATGGATGATAAACTGGCTTCATTAAAGTAGACTATCTTCAATATTGCAGATATAGGAAGACACAAAAAAAAAATTTAATTTCTGCAATTTTCAAAATTTCAGAGTCATGATGACATGTGGCCAGCGGTGTAACTATGGTATGGCAGACATGGCATGCGCCATGGGATCCACTAACAAAGGGCACTATGTAGAGTACAACAGCTTAAACAGACAACAAGAAGAGGTCCAGATGTTCGAGATCGTTAAGGCAGTGGTGCTGTAGCAGTCTCAGAATGATAGATCACAGTTTCGAGTCCCACCTCAGCCATGGTTATATTTATGTTCGTCCTTTCACCCTTCATCATCACCATATCACATCGTACTATTAACCACGTCTCTAATGTATAGTGGTCGCTAATGACCTAGCTATTGATAAAACAACTACAAAAAAATCAATGTGAAATACCCTGACAGGGGCTTCAATTCTGTGCTTGCCATGCGTGCCTGAATAGCTAGATAAGCCTCTGCCTACACCATTTCTTGAAGCACCTTTTGCTCATTAGAAGAAAAAAGATTTAAAAACCGGACACCTTTTTGGAAAAAATGATGCACAATGTAAAGTACCCCCAATAATCAAACTATACATTTCAAATTCAAGGAACTGCGACACATCATATCGATCGACAAATATTAATTGTCAAGAAAATTCTGCTTACGACTTACACTAGGGTTTTTGGCAGTGTTGTAGAATAACATACATGTATTGTATGTGAATTTTGTTTTTAGCAAGATGTTAATACTAACATCTGATTAATATGATTGCAACATTGAGTGTTTACAGATATCTCGTTCCTTGAAGAGTCAAAGAAAATATTAAATTAGACTTTGATAAACCTCTGCAGATAATTTCAAGACGGCAAGATACAAAGTATCAGAAATAAATGGACTCATTAAAATCTTACATGAAAACCTAATTTCTTTGGTTTGGTACCATGGTGCAATATGGTTATAATCAGTTGTGATGATATTTAATATAATTACTTGATGCTGTTGCAAATGAGAATGTGGTTTCGGACAAATGGAGTCCATTGGAATGTTGGAATTTATGAAGTCAGAACTTGCTGAGATGGTACAGTTACTAAGAAAAGTAATCTTCATGGTGTATCATTTTTGAAAAGGGAGAATGAGTAATAACCATTAGTAATAACCAACAAGTACATTAAAAGTATAATTTTATCTAATAATTAAATTATATTGGATCAGTTAGAATCTGTATATTGCGTAATGATTATACCGATTGCAATTTTAGGTTTTATAAAACAATGCCTTAATCAGTCATTGGAGCATGCAAGGAGTTGTTTTCATGAACATCTGGAGGAGTAGGTCCACTTTAAACATATGACAGGCATATGGGTAGACAGTCACTTCCAGGTGCCCCATTAATACGTTCTTAAGGCAATGATGTTTTCTAAGCAAGGGCACGAGAACAAAGGGGACCAAGGACAGAAGTGTCTGTGTCCATGTTTCAATAGAGGGGAGTCATGTGCTGCCCCACAAAGATGTTCCATGACTCATACTCTGTTTGAGGTAAGTACTTACACGAATCCTACCCATGGACACCTTGAGTTTACATTCACTTGGATGGCAGTTATCATATTACTATTCTTATATTTTGTATGTAAGAGATTTTTGGTAGTTGGTAGTTGGTTTGGTAGTTGTGAGAAACATCTTTTCATTTTCACTAGTGATTTCCCACTCTGCAGTCTTCTGAGGGAACCTAAGAATCCCATACAAATTAATTTGTACTGTAAATGTGGTTGTGGATGAAAGACCCAGCCAGTTAATATCTTTGCATATGCGAATGGGAGTTAGGACAAAAGACATCACATCAAATATTGCACTACACTAAAATCCAATTAAGACTAACAAGTAATGAAATACCAATCAGGCAAAGATGACACTTTTTAAAATATGCATGAAATCAGAAAATAAGTACATTTAGCAATGCAAACATGTAAAAATAGATACAAATGAAAATTAATATTTAGCACCATTTCAATATTTCACAAAAATTATATAATTATAACAACTGTCGATAATTCTCAATAGAGTAAGTATTAAAAGGTCTTATTAAGGAGGACATAGTTGTTTAATCTTGATATGCAAAACAATCTTTACTGTTATCCCCACAAAATGTGGAGAAACTTATTTTCCAAGTTGTCCTCAAACAATTGTGTGCATTATGTATCCAGGACTTATACAAAGAACGAAACATAGTAAGATAATTATTACATAGTTACAATTATGAATAAACTTTAATTTTCCTTTAACATTAAAATTTTAGAATTTGGAAATAATTCCCACAGATTGAAAGAAGCACATATTAATAAAGGATAAAGAATTGATAATATACCTGCTTTCTGATATTCATCAGCTGCTGATTCATGGTCAGGTCTCCATTTCAGAAAAGTTGTTTTTAGGCTGAAAATTATAATATAATAGGGAACATTAAAACATGAAATGTAGGTAACTTCAACACCTGAGATTACACACGCATTAAATTTAAAATGCAAATCTTAAAACCCAGACGCAACACAATCTTCACAAATTTATGAAGTTGAACACCTCTTCATTTACTCATTAAACTAAATTACTGTAAAACTGATTTTAAAGTGGATTTTCCTATCTAAACAGTGAGCAAAGCTGTCATTAAAATATTAAAAACATACTGTAACAGTGAAAACATTATAGTTTGTGTTGTGAAATTCATGATTAGTATACAGCTGACATCATAATTAAACAGGAAAGTATAAAAAACAAAATCCAAGACTGATCAACCAACAATATATTGACACTTGTCACAATGTCATAACTTGCATTATACTGTCATCATTCTCCAATGTGCTTATATTACATTAAAATTATGATATGGTAGTACATCACGATTTCAATTTGTTGCTCTTTGAAAGCTGCTAAAATATAGCATCCACTCTTCAAATGCAATGAACAACTTATGCCACTAAGTACTATATAACCAATATATAATGTAATTAGAATTTATTTACTAACATTTTCAACAAACTATCACATCAGATCGAATTTCATTTACCTTTTTTCAGCTGCTTTTACATGATCAAGAGCTTCTTCAACTTTTCTGCTTGCCATTGCACTAAAGGGCTAAAATGTTTCCAATTGAAACGGTGGAACCTGATTTCAGCAGTACCTGACAGGTTGTCCTCAGCAAACAACAGTGACACGACAGAGAGCGTTAGTACTGCCCTCACAGGCAGGGAAAAGGAACTACGCAATCTACTCTTTCCTTGTAACCTGCGTAACCAAAGTTATTAATGGTCTTGTGCGCCGTCTGAGTGCTGCCCTCACATGATTGGCGACAATACAATGCACACTATGGTAGGCATGTCTCACGACCAATAGACATGTCGTAACGTTTGGCGGGAAAGTGTTGGGTAGCAAGCTCTGGTTTGTGCGTAACTGTTTCCTACAGAATTAGTAAGTTTTGGGCTGCTTTATGCAGTTGCCCAGTTTTGTGATTCTTATCACATTTGTTATTTACAATGATATTTGTGTTCTTACGGTTTGTTTAGCCCGCGAATCTCGTTTACTATATTGATTTAAAGAAGTACTGTTCTATCACAAATGTCAAGTCATTATCCTTTCATTCTATAAATAGTTTCAAGTAAATATTATATTGACCGTGGCGATGATGCTAAGGTGCTACTTTATATAAATGAAATGTATGAATCATTTGAATCTGTGTGCCCTTTCATCGGATATGAGAAGTGCCAACGAATTTTCGGTCCTTGTGCTACTCGAGTGACTCCTCCCGTATATTTTGTCACCTGTCCGCCTTTTAAATATCAATTTTCGAAAATTATATTAATTATTGTCATGGAGAGAAATATTACCTACATTAAACTTTATTAATTGTTAGAAAATATCCAGAATGTTCATTAAAAACTGTCCCTCAAATGTTCGTAATTTTTCACAGAGTGTAGGAAATTTTAACACTGTTTTAACCGAAAATTGATATAATTTAACGTATTAATTTGTGACTGTATTGATTAAAATAAATACATAGTTTTGCAAAAAAATAAATAATATTACTTTTTTATCGTCATATTTTTAAAAGAATATTTGGTGTTTTCTTTGTTGAATTCAACTTTCGATGGTTGAATTTCAATATTAATGGCTCGCGTTTAAAATAATACTTGTTATCCCTAATGATATTAATGTTTACATTTTTTATCAAACTTATTTTCAGTATCTTTTGCTTGCTAGTTTTAATGAACATTTGAAACTATTTCTTGCCATACAATTAACACATCCCACCTAGGGAGTACAGGACCTTGACGTGGTGGTGGAGCTTGTGTGCCCCCGTGAATCTGAGAGCTATGCCGGCGGTAGCGTAGCTACTGGTAGGGCCTCCCTTTCCGGACAGGTCGAAGGGGAGGGGTCAGACGAAGTACTCCAGAAGAGGACGCGTTAGAAGAGGCCCCAAAGAAGAGGACCTGAAGGAAGAAGAGGAAGTTCTGACGTAGATTTCCGGCTTTGACATGGCGAGACTGTCCTCGAAAGGGTAGGCGGAACTCTTAGCCCAGCAAACGCAATCCGCCTAGGGTCGGTGGCCCAAAATTCCACCCAGCTTGTTTGGAAGCTGTGAGGTGGCAGCCCCACTACCAAACTTAACCTGCGCAGCGCTCGT